GTTCTCTCCCCTGTCTCCTGGGGGTTGGGGGCAGTAAGCGAGCGGCTGGGTTTGGCTGCCAGCTCTCGCCCAGCGAAACCACCAAACTACCTTGGAACAACAAGCGTCAAAAGTGTCTGTTTCCCCGTCTGCCATTTGGGGGATGATGATAACTGGTGCAGACAGGTATCTCAGACAGGTGCTCAGATCCCTGCCCCAGACCTGGGAGCTGCCTGGAGCCTCCCCAGCATTCGCCAGCATCTCTCCAGGGGTTTTGTGTGCCTGAGCTTGCTCCAGGTACAGAGGAACAGCCGGCAATTGTTAATTCTGCAAAACACTTCAGAGATACCAGTGCCAAACGCTCCTGCGCGTGATACATCCAGCTAATAATAATAGGAGGAGGGAGGGGTGACCTGGAGTGCTGCAGAGATCTCTTGATTTTGAAATGTGATTTTTTTCTTTTTACAAAAGACATAACTGCTCCTATTGAAGAAGAGCTGGACAGTGATGTTTAAGAACATATCAAAAAATAACTAACCTAGGAGAAAAAGGTAAGAAAAGCCAAAGTTAACAGTGGTACCTCAAGCTTACCTTGGCCTGATTCTGATTCTTTGAAGGCTTTTTGAAGTTAAAAGGGAGAAGATGTCTAGTTTTTGTGCAAAAGCTGCTTTATGATATTTAAAAACTTCTGCTTTTCATTTGGCAAAAGTGGAATTAATGTTTCTTCTAAATTACAAAGTATTTTTAAACCCCTGACTCCAGCCTGAAGATTTATGCACAGGAAATTTTTTCGTAATGTGCAATTGGAAAATGATTAAGTGATGTTATTGGGAGTAGAAGCTGCTTCCATGAGTCTTCACACTGTGGCAGTAAAGACAGAGCAAGAATGAGAAAGGGGATGAGATGGCATTTTGAGAGAGAAATTAATTCAGTGACATGAATCATTGATATAAAAGGCTTTTGTGGAGAAGGCTGCCCTGGGAAGCCTGGATTTTAAGGCTGTAATCGGAATTTAAACTCCGGGACAGATCCTTTAGCTGTGGAAATCAACGCGGTTGCAATTTGCCCTGGTCAATTAGTTTCACTGTAATAAACCACCCAGTAAAATCATGTGTACAGCTGGTCCCGCCACCCCTGCTGTTCAAATGAATCTCACGGTCCCTGCTGACTGTCCAACACTTGAACCAGCTGTCCTGCCTCGGTGTAATGGCTGGAAAATCCAGTTATGTCTAACTGGGATTTGGAGCTCTAGACAAAAATTCACTTAATCTTAGTTTTTAGATGACAACCTAGTCATAAAACAATTGTTTTTTAAAAATTAATCTCTATAATAAAGAAAATAAAACCTTATAGAGTGCAGCCTGGCCAGCAGATAAGGGCTGCTGACTCAAGGTGACAGATTTTTGTCCCATCTCTATTGCTTTCTCATCTAGTCCAGTTCCAGTTTTCTAACAACTGCTCACCTCCCTAACCTTCAAACAGAACTGAGCTTGGAAAAATGTGCGGCATAAAATGTTCAAATCCCTTCAGCTGCTGCAGACAGATAGGACAGCAAGCTCCCAGCTGTGTCCTCACTTGCGAGGAGGAGTTGGCTCCCTTCTACCTGAACAGCAGAGCCATGATGTTTGGGTGCTTGCTGGAACGTACCACAATCTTCAAAGGACAGAGAGGACTTTTCCACTTTTTGTGCCAAGTAAGGTCTTTTTCTTGCAGAGCATCCATATACGAAGTTCCAAATGTCAGTGCTTAGCACCAAGATCCCATTCCTGGGAGCAGGAACACTGTGATCTACACCTGACAGATGTTGTAATGAACTCCTGTCTCATCAAACAAAGTTTCTTCAATCATTTCGATCATGTTGTCTTTGTAATGCAGAAATGAGGTCTCTACAGAAGGAAACTTGTCTGTGTTGTGTACTGGATCTTGCTGCAAAAAGAAAAAATACAATTTTAATTTCTGAAGCAAACACATGTGTTGTGTCTGTGCAGTCATTCGTCTCCAGCGTTCTGCTCTCCCAGACACGTGGTACATACCGTGGAGGGTTTTGGGGCAAAGTCTTTCTCGCAGATGTGTGCTACGATGCCAGCAGCCAGAGCATCACCTAGGACATTGGTCATAGTTCGAAATCGATCCCTAGATGAGAGAGAACTGTGAGGATGCAGTTGATGGCCACAGCCAACATGTCTGGGGTCTTTTATGGCTTTGAAACATGTTGACCTACATACCTAATGTCACTACAACTGGTTTTGCTAACAGCACGTTGAGACAAGTGCAACGTTGTTCTTGCAAATACAGAGAGAAAATAGTGCATGTGACATCTGTGTGAGACCAGTACCATGAAGGCGATGGGGCTTCTTGTGTCCCATCATGTTTGTCGTCTTAGTGCCTAGACCTACCTGTGCTACTTCCCAAACGATGCATTATCTATGTTTTTGCTCAAATGTGGGGGTGAGCTGCCTCAGTGAGTCATAAAACTCCTTGGTATGTCTCTCGTGGAGAAAATCTTGTTCATCCAGCCACGGTACCTCTCTTGTTTATCCAAGCGCCTCTCTCAGCAGTAGAAGCGCCAGCACATTGGAGCAGGTGATGGTGCTGGGTACCCTGTGATGCTCAAAAATTGACCTTGCATTGTGTCCTGATTTTACAAGTTTCACCTGAAAAGTTAAACTTCCTTTTATGTGAAAGAAAGAGAAAAGCAGTCAAGATAGTCAAAGCTGTTTCCTTTCTGTCCAGGGTGGCTGTGAAGGACAAATCAGCAACTCACGTGTCAATCATGTTCTACATTCAGTGTCTACTCTGTATGTTTTTTCACCTACTAATTTGCTTCATTTTAATCTTCGTGCTTTAAAATGGCACATTTCACAAACTGCATATGTTTGACTTCTGTTTACCTGTGAGAAATGTAATCAAGCATCAGTTTTTGACTCAAGATCAATCTGGTCTTCATCCATCAAGATGGAGATGGTCTTATTGCAAGATAGACTACCTTGGTGTGGGATGCAGTCCTTTGAAAATGTCATCCTTACTGTTAGAAACTCCAATGATGTTTTTGTTCTGATGACATATGGATTTGAGAGAGAAGTTGCTGATTAAATGCAAGAGGGTGTTTTGCTACATCTGTTCAAGAACCGACTGTCTTGTTTTCTGCTATGATTTGGTGTGCCACCATCTCATACCTTACCTTGTTACTGTTTTGATGTGACATCTATTTTTCTCTCCTTTCTACTTTTTAATCGTGAAAATGCCCATGTTTCAAAAATAGAAACAGCAAACTGCATATTGTAAATAACTACCAGTGATTTGTGGTTTATTATTGGTTTTGCTGACTGATTTTTTATTTTTATTTTTTTTCCTGGAGATCATGCCTTTTTTCTAAACAATTGCATGTTTCCACCCCTTTTCTCGCTCTCTTCTTGTAATTAGCATCTTTCTGGCTAATTTTAATTTCTTCTTGTATGAAGTTGGGTATATTTCACCCTGCCTTACCAACCTTGTTCCTCTCTCAGAGATAATATTCCAACAAATCTTCCAAAAATATTCCAACAAATATTGCATCATCCACCGCTTTGCTTTGACTCTTGTGCTGTCCATCTTCCTTTGTGCACAAAGTGGACAGCTTGGAGAAGAGTAGGACTTGAGGTATTTTTTGGGAATATGTTAACTAGCAGCCCTACACAGTAATACTTCATGAAGACAAGACTATGCACCTACTTTCCTCCTTTTCTACCTCTCACTACGGAGGAAAGTAGCATCCTTTTGATCTCCTGAAATTACAAATGTATATATGTTTCAGAAAGCAGATTTTGTTACTTATTTGAGACTTGCAACAAAGATGTGTTGTACAACCAGATAGGAATCTAGATAAAAGATCAACTGGTATTTCAAACTGGGGACCTTGCTTGAGAGAGTGACTGAACGCCTTTGGCACTTCTCCCATGTAGAGTCCTTAGTGAAGCACTAGATAGTGATGAACACCTCGGAATAGAAATGCCTCACGTCAAACACTCCTTTAGGAGACTGTTTGCCTATAGTAATCATGGGCTATTGCAAGAAAATGGTCAGAAAAGGAAGAATCTCACACTTGGTTCCTGGCCTTGTTCTGTGATTCCTTAATCTTTATCTCCGTGGGAGCTGCTTCAAATACATCACCATGAATTGGCATTTAGCACCCGCCTGTAACATCACGTCTGGAAAATACTTACAGAGCCCAGTCGACTGCGATGATGAGTGTGATGTCATCAGTTGGCAGCCCAACAGAAGTTAACACAATGACCATCGTAATGAGTCCGGACTGGGGGATCCCGGCTGCCCCTATGCTTGCTGCTGTTGCTGTTATGCTGTGGAGAGAAGGCAGCTGGGCAATTACTGTGGTTGTGGGTTGTTTTGTTGTTGTTGGGGTTTTTTGTGTTGTTTTTTTTGTTTGGGGGGGGGGGGTTTTGGGTTTTTTTTAATAAAACAAGCATGTTTGCACAGCAAAGTAAGTTATTCATGTACAGAAGGATTGGATCAGATCTGGCGTCTGTCACTTTCCTGCTCCTGGTGCTATCCCAAACCCCTACCTGTGCACATCATGGCCAAGGCTTTGCAGCAGGAACTCTTGGCTTTGTGCTTAAACACCCCGCCTCTGTGTTCCAGTGTACGTTTTTTTTAATAAAACAAGCATGTTTGCACAGCAAAGTAAGTTATTCATGTACAGAAGGATTGGATCAGATCTGGCGTCTGTCACTTTCCTGCTCCTGGTGCTATCCCAAACCCCTACCTGTGCACATCATGGCCAAGGCTTTGCAGCAGGAACTCTTGGCTTTGTGCTTAAACACCCCGCCTCTGTGTTCCAGTGTACGTAGCCCCTGCATAAAATTGCTAAATATTTGCAACTGCACTTATTTATTTTTATCTAGATAGGTGCTTTATTTCCCTGCTTATAAAATTAGGATATTCCACTCCTGAAAGGGAGTAAATTATACCTGTACAAACCCTTGTGTGCTAAAATAACTCATCTGCTCTGCAGGTGTTGACCTGCTCTGGCCATGCTGTTAGTTCACCGTCTGGCTTTTACAGGCAAAGTCTTTGATTCTGCAGCAGATTCTGTGGATGCAGAGCCCAAACTTTCCCTGGTGCCCAGCGCATGGGTTGGTACACACTGCACCTTTCCCTGTTCAGCTTCCCAGCAAAGTTCACTCTGCAGCAGCAAGATCTTTGCCAAACAGAAAACATGTGAGAGGTTGTTAAAATGTCTATAAATATGAATAGAGAGAAATAATATAGCTGCTGCAAAGAAACATTTACCTTATCGTTATAATTTGTCCCAAATCCAAGTCATATTCATTGACCTGGGCAATAAAGATAGCAGCGACCGCTTCGTACAGTGCTGTGCCATCCATGTTGATGGTGGCACCAACGGGGAGGACAAATCGTGCCACGCGTCTGTCTATTCCGTTGTTTTCCAGGAGGCACTTCAGGGTGATGGGCAAGGTCGCTGAGCTGAAGAACAAGAAATCATCACTAAATAATTTGCATTGAGCTTTATAAATGGGAATCAACATAATGGTATAGAAACAAGTTCTCCTGAAGGTAAAAGCAGCAGCAATATTCTACAAATTTCTATAGCAGTGAAGTTGCTTCAACTTGCACTATCTGGAGAATGAACATAATTAACCAAGTCCGTTAGCTGCTGGCTGCAAGATGAACTGCTCTTTATTAACAGCTCTGTGTGGTGGTTACAGCTTTGTTGTTCATCCCTGGTCACCATGTTCATCCCGCAGGGTGTTGGTTTGGGGCAGCATCTGCTGCGCTGGGGTCCAGCCAGACCCTGTTGTTCCCATTTACCTCCGTTCCACACGCGTGAGGAGCAGCTGCCTCAGCTCTTGCACCCTCCTGACCTTTCTCTCTTGTTTCTGTCTAGCACAAAGATGTGAGCTGTCACACAGGAGTCAGGATAAGGATGTGGAGGAAGAAAACCAAATGGAAGAAAGGAAATGAGTACAGGAAGGAAGCTGATGGGATGGCAATAGGCTCTTGGAGGCAGGCACTGCTTTTCTGAAGGAGTTGGAGCAGCTTAGCTGACTGGAGCAGAGAGGAGGGAGAAGGGCTGGTGGAGTCAGAGCTGGAGAGCTGAGTTCAGGAGGAGGTCAGGTAGTTAAAAGTAGCAGAAGAGACCTGCATCAGTGGGCGGTAGGGGAGGGAGGCACAATTCTGGATGGTTTTATTTGGATTATGTGAAGAAGTAAAATTAGGGAGGCCAGAAAAACCGTCTGCCTAGACAAATGGTTTCTAAGAAAATGTTTGAATTTCTGTGTCTTCCAGAAAGGATGGTAGTTTCTAATGTAAAGTTTCTTCATTGTTATAAAGAATGTTTTTAAATGAAAATCAAATAGATAAAAATAATTTAAAATTATAAAATCTTATCAAAGTAGACAACACTTTTCTTTGTAGGAGCTTGGGATACACAGGGGTTGGTTTCAGATTTTCAGTAAAGCATTCAGAAGAGCTTTTGATGTTTTCAATTAAAACCCAGGATCATAACCCCATGCTGTGCTTTATAAAAGCACCTACAACAGTCCTACTTTGAATTCTTTAAAAGAAAACTGACTGCAGCAGTTAAAGGAAGCACACACATGCACAAACATTGCTGCTTTATGCTGGGAAAACCTCAGGAGAGGGGGAGCAAAAGAGCAACGTGCACTGGTTGGGTCTGAAGACTCACAGAGGCTCTTC